GAAGTATATGTTCACATCACCTTGGTCACTGCACAAAGATTAGTCTTATACAATCCAGTTAACCCATTATTTTCTACACAGTTTTCCCTATGACAGTAAGTTATCTGTATGTTTATTAGAGACTTTATGGTTACAATTCATAATGCCCATTGCGTTTCCCCTCCCAGGCCAGTGAGAAACCACATTCCAGTGCAAATACCTATGAAATTCCTCCACAGCGGAATGTGTGTAAGTGTGCAAACCTATCCTTTTAAAAACCAGTGAGGGCGAACAAGCAACAATGATCTGCCTCAGCTTGTTACAAGCATTGGTGCAAAATAGAGAGAGAGAGAAAAAAAAAAACTGGGGTCTTTCTTCCTGTGTGTATTCAGAGTAAATGCAGCATGTCAAAGGGGGGATTTATTACGTCCCCAAAGAAAAACATTCTCCCGATGATGAAAACATGATTGGGCGACCTGGGTAGCCCAGCCTAACTTCTGCTCCACTGTCACAGTAATTACCCTCAGAGCCCTGTGGCATCCGACCTTGGTGAAAAAGACCCCGGGAAAAGAGAAGAGCCACAAAGACGCATTTTGAGGCAAAAAGGATGCGACCTGGGAGAGCCGAGCTCCCTGTCCATCACTCGGAAGTGCTGTGAATGGCTACAAAGGCCCCCAGAGTGAGACTTTGTGGGATTTCGACGTTGCCAAGAGCAAATGCCACATCGCCTTGCCAAGTATTAGGGAGAAGACAAGAAAATCCCCCCACACGTAGAGAAATATCAACAAAACTGCAGCATAAAGGCCATATTCACGGGTGCACAAAGCCATAGAGGCTGGATGGTATAGGGCTAAACGGAGTGTATTATGTTGCACTGATGCCACAAGGTCTGAGGCAGAGGTGGAAGTTAGGCCTCCGCTTTACATTCCAAGAAAAGGGGCACACAACCGTGACTCTGGGGGAAAATACAGTTGCCCTGTGCCTTAATCTATCATTCTGACTGTCATTCTATCCACTGTGCATTGCCAAGTGAATTAAAGACACTTTAAGAAGCTCAATGAACGCCTTTTGTATCCCATTATCTTCTTGTTCCACAGGCTTTGTGGGCAACGTTACGCATCACCGAGTCCGTAATGTCTTGAAAGGCTGTTTGGAAAAGAAATATCCGCTCATCGGATTCACACATCCTTACACCACGAGGCTTTGGAAGTAAAGGCGTTGACTTCCAAAATGGATAAAAAGGCTCAAATTATCAGACGATTCCATGCTAGCTGCTGGCTCAAGCTAAAGGATTTCTACTCACATTCTGCAATTTCACACACATCTATGTTGCAGGACAGAATTTTGAATATGTTGTATGGAACAAACTATGCATTACACATGTCACTTTATAAATGTACACAAATAAACTAATGTTTCTTCACACTACATTTGCTATTTTCATACGTAATGGTTGGGTTTTTTGAATCATTATCTAGAGCTCATGTCAATTCACTGAACTGAAAAAAATTGAATGGTATTATATTCATCTTAAATAATTCAAACAACTTCTAGGTATAACCATTGCTATATCATTGTAATCTTAAAGGGTAACTTCAGTATTTTTCAACCTGGACCACATTTTCCCTTGTTTTGTGTCTGAATGACTAAAGGGAACAACAATTTTTGGAACTGGTCCAGTATTAAGTGAGAGGGTCCAGCCAGCAGTGTTGAAACTGGCTGCAATGTAACCACTCAGGGCATTTGTACACCATCAATTTACGTCCACTAAAAGTGCTTGTTTTTGCCACTGACAGGCTCAGATTGTTATGGTAAGTGTCTCAGAACATTATGGAAAGAATCCCTACAGAAATAGACCTTCTTGTTAAAGAGTAAGATCCTTTTTGAGAAAACTCCAAAATCAACACTCCCAAACCAACCTGACTCCATTTAAATAAATAGTAATTTAACATGTATAAAACCAGCATTTTCAAATCTAACTGGGATTATTTCAGCAAACCAGAGTTGGTAATTGTTGGAGCAGTTGAAAGACAAACAATACAGCTTTTGTTAGTTTAATTATGTTTCTGTTGACTTTGATAAAAATGATTTAAATGGAGTCTGGTCAGGAATAATAATCTGAGCCTATCAGTGTCAAAAACGAGCACTGAAAGCAGATGTAACTGACAGTGTATCATTGCCCATTAAAGAGGAACTACGCCCAATTTCAAAATACACACATAACATCCCTGTGGTCTACAACAGTCCAAAAAATATTAGTAAACATGAACAACTCTCTCCCAAATCCAAAACTTAGAGTACTAAAACTGAAATTTGTGATGTCATAAGGTATAAAAGCTGGAGCTTCTCAATAGAAAATGATTGGAAAAGATGTTCTAGATCAGTGGCTTCCAACTGATGGGCCGCGTTCCAAAAGCTACTTAACAGAGACAGCAAACTAGCTAAACGACATGGCCAAATGCAAGTATGACGCTGAATATATAAAACTGTGTGGACCTTGAACTAATGACTAAGGAGAAATCTGGACTGTGGCTGGACCAGTTGGAAACCGCTGCTCTAGATAACACTGAACACCCAGGGTAATGTTCTGAGTGACTGGGTACATTTTCTATGTACTATGTACACTATGATGCTTATTTGTGTATAAAATAGAAAACATTCTGTGGGTCCACAAAATCAGACTTCATTGTCTGTGGAGCAGCTCCCGACTTTATATCTGACGACATTACGAGTTTGAGACTAACTTCTCTGTTACTATTAGTCACTTAGACACAAAAAATAGGGTTCCAGGGTGAAAAACCCCAAAGTAACCCTGTAATGGTTATAACTGTTTCTATGGTTGTCCTTAACATCTGTTATTTCACACTGAAATATATTCATACATGAGAACAAATGAGTCTGAAGTAGATATGTGTTTCTTGATTCTATGTTCTTTTTTGACTTTCTTGATTGCTGTGCACACATTTCTCATCAAGTAACTAGCTCAAATTAGCCAATTAGTGAAAAGTATTTTAAAGTGTGCTAAATCATACTGATATTTGCTGCAAAGAGCTGGTTTAACCTGCTGGGAGCGGCACGTGGGAGAGGTTTACCACATCAAGTCAGACAGATGCAGGTACAGTACAATAACTTAACTCACAAACAGTGTCTTTGATATCCTCTCTTATTATCTGAATCCTCTACGAGCCACTGTCAAGATAAATCCGGTGCAGCATATTCTGCCCAGACTGTCATGGGAAGAACAGATCTATTTACAGAAGCGTCCTACTCTGAAATAAAATGCAGAAATGTCTGCAAGAGGTTAAATTCCTGTGTGCGTGGGCATTAAAAGGTAAAATGACAGGGGTTAACCTTGCTGAGGCATCACAACCCTCTCCCGGGTCAGGCACACACTGGGCACCTTTCCACAGAGGAACACACAGAAAGAGTCTTGTTCTGCAGTCCATGCGCGGGTCAGTGCTGGCAGGTAGGAGTGAAATGATAGGCCTCCCCAGAGACACAGCACAGAGGACACACTGTTTCCCCACAGCTAAAGCATCCACTGGAATGCAATATGGGGCGGCAGGTAACTTTCAGTTTACCGCATACCTTTATCGAAAATCTTCAAATCCCAGGAAAGCCCCCGCCTGCCGTCTGACACTTTGGTGGGAATTCAGAAACAGGGCAGATGGAAAGCTTGACTTGACAGGCATCAAACTGAAATGTGGATTAGTTTCTTAAGGAGGGATAGTCTGTAGTATTACTTGTGTTGAGAGTTGGATCTGCCCGTTACTTAAAACCCATTAACGGCTGGCAAACAGGTACCTGCCTTAGATTGGATTTAATATCATTTTAAAATGGTTGATTAAGTTACCATCATGTGCAACATCAAATTTAACTCTTCTTCATGTGTAAAGCTTTGATTCAGACAAAAAAATCATTTCAATTAAAGAAAAAACATTTAAGTTACTCCACTTTGCATTGTGGTTCACATGATGGCACAGTAATGACTAAGCCTGTTCTGATGTTAATATGAGCTATTTTGCGCAAATGAGAATGATTTTTTTAAAGGAAAAGAAAAGCCTGCAGTTCCAAATGTACTTAGAATCTAATTACATAATATCTACTCTTTAAGCAAATCTGGTTTAAAATATTTGATAATTTGATTATTCAAACTGTTCTTCACAGAGGTGAGATATGGGTCCACCCAGTCATCATAGCCACACTAACTATAATGTAATAGCAGTGTGTGCTGTGTGTGCCGATGAACAGCACTTGGCTTCCCCCTTTCCGCATTTGTCCTGAGCTCTCTGCTCATCTGCCAGCAAAAGTTTGCCTGGTGACGTGAAACGCATCTCTGCCAGCCACTGAACAGGGAGTTCCAGGCACTCACTACATGGGGGAAAGCCAAACATCATTCATCTGCACACACTGCGATGACACAGAGGTGGTTGAAAATCAGCAAAGCTTCACTTTATAGGTAACGAGTACCAATACCCAGCCTTACACAGAAGTAGATACTGTAGTTTTCTACTGATACATGAGCTAACTAGGGATGGGTACCGATACCCGGTACCATGACGGCACCGGTGCCGACGTAAACGGTAGTAACCAGACCAGAAAGCAACGCAGATTTCGGTGCTTCATTTTGGTGCCACTGAATTTTTCATTACCACCCCCTTACCTCTATTGCCGTGCCGGTGTTATGCAGAGTTTTGGATCCCTGCCGAGAAGTGCATCCAGCTCATTGGGCAGCCGTGGATGTGTGCTACACGTGATGTCACGTCAGTATATTTCACCTGCACCTGCACACAATGACCCTTGATTGGATTGAAGTGAACCTAAAATGCCGAAGTCAAAACGGTCGAAAGTTTGGCTGCACTTCACCTCAAAAGATGCAGATTCGGCTGCCTGCAACAAGTGCTCAAAGGCGATATTGTGCAAGGGAGGTAACACCTCGAATTTGATTAAGCATCTGACGACACATGGCATTTTTTTAAAAGCCGAGCAATGCACCGTCTTTGATAGCCTGTGAGACCCCACGCCAAGCACATCTTCTGCCGCTATTGGAGTTAGCAGCATCCCTGGAGAAGAGAGTCCCACTCCCAGCCCTGCCAGTGTCGTTGACGCTACAGATGACAGCAGCCGTTCTTCTTCGGGTGAGTAACTTAATGTTGTTAATGTGTAATTTACGTCGAGTAAGTAACTTAATGTTGTTAAAATAATGCGCTAGATTTATGCATGTAGGGTGAACTAGCGAACACCGTTGTCATCTCATGCAGAGGTCTTTTTGTTGTTTGATGGCAGTGACTCCCTTCACCCTGGCCAAGAAGGCTCAACTGACAAAAGAAAAAGTGGAGGAAATTCACAGGGCAGTAACAAAATTTGTGGTGCAAGGCCTTCATCCATTTTCAACTGTGGAGTCACCATCATTCAGGTGAAAATTTTTTGGACCATATTTACTTCTTGTATTATATGTATATAACTGCTCCTGGCAATGACAATAAAGTGAATCTAATCTAATCTAATCTAATCTAATGTATTTTTTTAAATACAGGGAGATGACCACTGCCCTTAATCCTAGGTACCAACCCCCATCCAGGGATGACATATCCAATACATTTATACCTGCATGGTATTCTGTAGAGAAAAGCAATGTCATCCAGAAGTTGGCACAGGTTAACAAGGTAGCTATCACCTGTGATGGATGGACCAGTGTTGCACAGGACCACTTCCTCACAGTCACTGTCCACTATATCTCCAAAGGCAAAATGGAGCAGAATGTGCTGAGCACTGAAGCGGTTTATGAGTCACAAACAGGACCAGTTGTGGCCAAAGAAATAGCCAGTGTTGTGGAGCAATTTCACTTAGAGGAGAAAATAATTGCTGCCACTGTAGACAATGCCAGCAACATGGATGTTGCTTTGAGAAGTTTGGATTTCTTAAAAGTGGGATGCTTTGCTCACACCCTTAACCTGGCAGCACAAAAGGTTTACGACATTCCTGCAGTTTCCAACTGGTGTGCCAAAATCCGTGCAGTTGTGGTATGGCTCAAGCGTTCATCGTTGAGCAAAACTGTGCTCAGAGAGAAGCAGCGCGTCCTCAGCAAGTAGCATATGCAGTCATATATCAAGAAGTATTGTTTTTAATAATACCATTTTTAATTGTAATTCAAAATATGTCTGTGTCTGTCTGTGCTTTAGATTTGCCAGAGCATAATGTCATTCTCGACGTTAAGACGCGCTGGAACTCCCTTTTCCTGATGGTGGAGAGATTTATGGAGCAGTTTGATGCAATCCAGGCAGCTGCTCTGGATCAACGGCTGAGGAAGCCAATGGAGAAGGACAGGTGAATGACAAGAGAGCCACTTGTTAGAGCTAAATTACAATGTCAGTTTATCATTTATGCTTAACATTGTTAATCATTTTCCACAGGCTAGAAAGGTTCACACAGGCAGATTTAATGAAGGCAGAGGAGTTTATCAAGTGCATGCAAGTCCTGTACACATCAACCCTGTGTGTGTCAAGTGAGAAGTCTCCCACATGCAGCCAAATCATCCCCATCCTGACCAAGCTGGAGGCACACTTCAGGCAATGTGATGAAGACACTGGTTTCACCTCCTCAATAAAACAGAAGGTCTGGGGTAATCTGCAGAACAGATACCAGGTATTTTCCATTTGCAGACAATATCTATCCTCATAAAAAGGAGGGGAACCACAGCATTTTCAATATCAGGTATTATATTATATCTTGTTTTCCTTACAGGATGAAAACCTTCAGAAGTTTCTGAAGGAGGCCACACTGATGGACCCACGTTTTAAAGGCAGGCTAGATGAAGGTGAGGCTGCTGACGTCTGGGACAGGTTGGAGAAGGCAGCAGTGGCAAATGCCACAGCAGCAGTTGCACAGGTATTTCACTGCATGTGTACATCTTTGTTCTTTTGCATCATGTTGTAGTTTCTGTGTTGAAAGAATGCTCTTTTACTATCTGTGTCCACAGCCTCCTATAGAGTGCCCTCAGGCAGACTGTGAGGTTGATGTCGATGAGATGGACAAGCCAGAAAAACGTGTAAGTTCAGAAATTTTCAATCAGAAGAACCATGTACTATATTCTAAAATTGATCACTTTTTTTTTTTTTTTTACAAACCTTACACTTCTTTTTTGTTTTCCAGCCAAGAAAGTTCCAGAAGTCGGCCTTGGAAAAGCTGTTTGAGGATGAGGACAGAGAGCTTCTCCAGGCAGCTTCTCAAACAGCCAGTGGCCCCTCCATCACAGAGCAGGTGCAGAAGGAGCTGGACATTTACAAAGGTCTGCCTGCAATTCCTTCTGGACAAGACCCTGTGGCCTGGTGGTGGGGTAAGAGGGATTTATCTGCCCTATCAGATACGTACTTCTGTGTCCCAGCCTCATCAACGCCTTCCGAAAGGGTTTTCTCTTGTGCTGGGCATACCATCAGCCAAGAGCGATGCCGCATATCACCAGAAAAGGCTAACATGGTCATCTTTTTGCAAAAAAACTGTTGAAAGTTTAAAGTTGTTAGGTGTTTTTTAAACACGAAAAAATTGAAAGGTGATTGTGATTTTTTATTTTTTTTATTTTTTTTGCATGTTGCATGTTGCATGTTCTCTGTATTCTGTATTTCTGCTGGTTTTGATATGCTGCTGTTTTTATTATGATAATTCTAACAGTTTGTTGTGAATTTTTATATCGGTTAATTTCTTAGTCTGTTGTATTTATATTATTTAAGGATTTTAAATTAATATTCTGTTCAACTTGTGTGTCACAAAATGCCTTAATAAAAAGGCAGCGTTTTTGGACAAAGTTTGTATGTTTTCCATTCTTTAAGCACCGGTTCGGGCACCGTTTAAGCACCGGCACCGTTTCAAAAGTACTGGTTTGGCACCAGTATCGGATAAAACCTAAACGATACCCAACCCTAGAGCTAACTGACTGCTCTCTTTCTGTCCCCTAATGGTGAACTTTAGCTGTATACTTCTTTATATTCAGCCCGAGTACAGCCTCATGGAGCCACTAACATGGGTGTAGACTGTTGTTTACATCAAACTAATGGTAGGCTACATGGACTTCAAATCATTTATACAGCAACTTTATCTTGAGGCCAGTACAATGTACTTAAAATGCCTCACACCCCTCCCTCTGACACTGCAATAGATACCAAGGGTCAGTATACTGTCAGCTTATCAGGTTCATAATGTGTTAGAAAACTACACAGAGCGGCTGACACTGCAACATTGGCATTGCATTTAGTCACATCCCTCTCTGATTGAAACACGTCAATACTTAATTCATTTCTGCTGTGTTGATCTGCCAAATATCTGAACTCTTGGGTGCTTTGATTGATTTTAAAGCAGCATGATTACATACAAAGTCAAAGACACAAGTGGATTTCTTCTAAATTAAGCAGTACAAATTGAGGTGTAGAAACCTTAACCTACCACTGAGTGACTCCATTTCATGTATAGAGACTAAGGGAAGAAAGAAACTAAATAAGACTATGAAAACAGCTATACACATGCCAATGGTGTATACATTACTTACTACATAGTTGACTTTTCAGACAGCAAAAGCCTTCCAATCTGGGTGAATGAAACACGGTGAAAAGTTACACTGAATTCAATCTGAACATGTCTTTAGTTTGTGTTTATTTTCACCAGCTACTTTTTTTTTACATCTCCAAGATTCAATTCAAGAAGTTTATTGTCATATGCATAGCCAAAATTCTTAATTGCTAGTCTCCACTCACACAATAGTACAATTAGAATTAACATTAGATTCAAAGTCATGGCACCCATCATAGCTGACATATTTGCTTCACTCTCCCTACAGCACCGCTACTTAGTATTTATATAAGCATTGATATGTATTTTATAGGGATGCACCGAATATTCGGTAACCGAATATATTCGGCCGAATATTGCAAAAAAAAACACACACATTCGGTATTCGGTGGAATAAGTTAAAAGCAAGGCCGAATAATAGCGGCGTGTTTTGATAACGCAATCAAACAGCGTGCCGTGACGGGCGGAGTAAAATGTCGGCAGTGTGGCGATCCGTCCGTCACCGCACTCACATTTGCGACTAAAAATAGTTTTGAGCGAGCAAAATAGGCTTAAATCATTCAGCACGCTGTGCGAGCAGCCTACAGAGTTCAACCAGCAGCAGAAACAAAAGGCGAATCCCACCGGTTGTGGGTTGAACGGGGGTCACAGACACAGACAGTAATGTATTCCTGTCAAATACGGCGGCCATCAGCTTACCGGTGATGGAGAAGTTGGCTCCAATAATATCCTCTTCTTGGCGTCATGACTGCCCAGAAGTACCTGAACAGCCGAGCCAGCCGAACACAGGTATGTGACGTGTCAGAGGAGAAACGAGCCGTTCACATTTCTGTCTTTGTGTCAGTAACGGTCCACAAACCTCACCGCACTTTAGGGACTGTTCTTTACTTATGAAGGGGAGGAGGGTGGCTGGTTGATTCTTATTTTATTTATTTATTTATTTTACTTTGATCCCCCCTATGTTAATCACTTATTGATGCTGTTTTTGAAGTATGAATAAGTCAATAAGTAATTTATTCCATTGAAATATCATTGATGTAGCCTATAATAGAAAAGTGATTTATCTTTTTATAAATGACAAAAGGCACATCTGCCTCATTTTCGCTGTGATATCGTGATACTACTCAGAACCATGATATTTTCATTGGTATCATACAGTGGGATCCAATTTTGGTACCGTGACAACACTAATCTGGAGGGGGTTCATCTGCAAAAACGAATGAAAAACTAAACAACGATATTTGGTATTTGGTAATTGGTATTCGGCCAAGCGTTTAATATTATTCGGCTTCGGCTTCGGCCACAAATTTTCATTTCGGTGCATCCCTAGTGTTTTACACATACAGTTCATGTATGTGACAGTGAGACACAGCAGGGAGGAACTTCTGAACATCCGCAAAGTTCATCATGAGCTTAAACATAGCCTGTTGGACCCTGACTTTCTTCTATGCCTGGACCCAGCCAATTCTAGCCAGCGAGATACAGCAGCACTGGCCTCCGGTGAGCAGTGCAGCCGACAAACAGTGCGTCCAAGGTGGAGACGGGGCAAGAGAGGTAAACAGCCAGCAGATGGCATGCTTACCCATATCCTTCCAAAATGGTCAATCACTGCTGTTGACAAGACTTTCCCAATCCCCATTATTTGCCCTTCCACCTGTAGTCATTATTATCCACATTATGATTATTTATCAAAAAATCTCATTGTGTAATTATTTTGTGACAGCACCAAGTCAACCCAACAATATCACTGCAATATTGATATCAAGGTATTTTGTCAAAAATATCCTACTTGATTTTCTCTATATCCATCAGCCCTACAACTTGTCTAAAACTGATTCACAGGTTTTCTCTTCTTGTCTTTTGTGTGTAATTCAAAAAAAAAAAA